CCACAATTCAACTATTTTAAGCTTTTCCAGTACTGGACCATCGTAGCATTGGGATGAACCTTCGAAATTTAATCTTTCAAGATTTGGGACATAATGTGCGCCTTTTTGGAAGTAAGCGAAATCATACAATTGTTTTATACTGGAACCATTATGTTGAATGCTTGCCTCAAAGAAATCGCAGTGAATCATTTCGAGGTTATCGCAATATTCGGATAGGCATTCTAGATATTCTCCAGTTAATCCTCTCAAAGATTTTTGATTTTTGACCAATGCGACAATATCTTTGCGTTTTACTTTTCTACCAAAATTATAAGACGTCATTTCAATAATCTAAGTTAATGAAATGGATAAAAAAGAATAACAAAATGAATACAAAATGAACAATGGAAATGAATTACAGTCAAAGTCCGTATATTTTGATTTTTTGGATTGCTGACATCTATGTGAACTACAGGGGGAAATAATTGAATTTTACAGTTTAAACAATCTAATGATTCCCGTTAGCCTTTCTACCCTTTTCCCTTCAGGGGGAGTCATTAGACTAGATCAATTCTTGTCTCTTCAAAAATAGTTTACCGATACTCGATCTCAATCGCTACTTGAATTTATAGTTTCAATTTTGTGATAAGCTTTATTGTAACTTTTGTTGAAATCGAAAGTAATTATTGCTCATAATTTGATTTTACAATGAATATCAATCAACTTCCAGATGATTGCTTACTCGCCATTTTTGATCATATCAATCACTTGGGCGATTTAACAAACTGCTTTAAAGGTAATTATGAATCCATTTTTTTGTATTAAACAAGTTTATGAATATAAATTCAAAAAATCAAAATATACGCACTTTGACTGTAATCATATCAACTTACCATCAAATTCTGAAATAATGTGCTTAAACAGGTTCCATCAAACATTTCCGTTGTTCGACTTTTAACATAATAAACACAATTATCATTCTCCATATAGCCTGCTAAAAATATGAATTTGTACAATTAGGAGATCGATTACAATTAGAATGAGTAATATACCCGGTTAAAGCAATTTTCACAGTCGCAATCTATATTTTGAAATTTTACATTCTTTTATAATTTATAGATTCGTTTCATTTTCTGAATCTTGAGCGCTGCAAGTTTGGTAAAGCCATTCGCATCATGGAGACCGAGAAACACACATTGCCTTAACCGGGTACTTTTTAGTACCAAGAATATATCAAAACTTTGAATCTTACCAATCAAATATTTAACTTTTTTGGTTCGCTTAGCAATTAAGTGACTCCACTTGATACACACTGCAATAGAAATGTTATGGAATTATTAAATTTTTAGCTTGTTAATTTTCTTAATTATCATTCAATTGGCTTCATAATTCATTCAATCTAAATTAAAATTTGTAAAAATATTTAAATACTGCGCTTCAAAAGTAAGATAATCTTAAGATAATAAGATGATCATAAGATAAAAATAGATGTTATATTCACATGCAAGTCAAATGAAAGTTTAATAATATTTTTACATTAATGATAACACTTGTCAGAGTCAGAAGCTAGTTGACTCATATAAGAGTTTATTTGGTCAATAAAGCTGAAATATCAAATATTTGACTAGATTAATCTAGCAAATTTTGATAATCGCTGAAGGTATGGAAAATTTCAATGGATTATATGATTTTTATGATAAAGAAAAAACATGATTTGTAATTACCTTTATAGCAGTTTATTAAATCATCCAAATTATTCAAATAATCAAAAATGGTGAGCAAACAATCATCTGGAAGTTCACTAATCAACATTGTAAATAAAATTATGACGAAACTACAGTTTTTCTTGCACAATTGGTTGTAATTAGAAAACCGTTTACAGCGATCTCCTCCTAAGTTTCTCTTTTTGTTGACCGTTTGGTTTGTTGTTCAAATGTGAGGGATGAAAGTTTCATCATGAAACTTAAGAGAGAACAGGAGTCTAGAAATGCAAAGGCACCTAACCAATCAAAGAAGAGCATTTAGCATCTTTGATAACCAAGGCAACGGATTCAAGAAATCCAAAGGCACCCATCATATTGAGCATGCTCAAGTACTTTAACTTTCTGCTAACATTTAAAAAGTTGATAATTTTAATCAATTGCAAGATATTTTATTTGATTTTGTTGATTTTCAAAATAAAATTTTGCATTATTGATCTTTAAAGGGCAAAATTTTCGATTGATAAATATCATATATTCTTAACAGGAATTAGAATTCATTTAATCAGCTAAAAAACATTGAATCACATTAGATTGTCTCATTTCTAGTTCAATAAAGCTTTTTGATTATTTTTTAGTAATTAAAGATTAAATTGGTTCCGTTCATTAACTTTTCTCATGTTTTTTAATATTAAATCGCATTCTGAAAATACTTTTAATGATTTTTAAGCCAGGTATTAAGATGAAATTTGTGGACGAGTGGGGGAATTGTGGGGGATCTCCTCAATTTGCTCAAAATTCATAATAAAATATATTTTTGTGAAGAAAATTAGATTATCGAATTAAGAAAATTAGCTAATTGATTTTAAATCTGAAATTAACTCATTAACTCATTGTAATTTAAAATCATTCATAACCGTACAGAATGATTTTGAAACGATCGCAAAAAGTTAAAGTACTTGAGCATGCGTAATGTCGGGTGCCTTTGCATTTCTAGACTCCTGTTAAGAGAGAGACTTATGCTTAGAGACCAGTTGGTTACTGGTAACCGGTTACTTGGTTAGAGGGGGAGAAAAGTAACCAAGTATGGTTACTATAACCAGTTACTATAACCGGTTACAAAATAACCGGTTACTTGTTGGTTACATTGAGAGGGAAATTTGAAAAGAAAGTAAAGAAAGTAAACAACAACTTTCTAAATACATTAATAGATGGCGCTGATAAAAGATGAAAAATTAAACTTTTTATTTTTGAATTTGGCGGTAAGAAATTTGTAACCAGCAAGTAACCGGTTATTTGTAACTGGGGGTGAAAGAACCACAGTTACTGGTTATACTAACCAAACTAGCCTGTAACCGACGTATCTCTACTTATGCTCACATGCAGTGAAAAGGGCAGCCAGGCAACCATTTCTGGTTGCCATCTGTCTAAGGCTTTGCCGCCCGTTTTGAATAGAAGATACAGAGACCTGTCAGTAATTTAGATTAGATTTTTTTTCTTCGTATTCAGTATTTGAGTTACTATTCTAATTTCTCTAATTATGGAGAACAGGCTTTCTTCCAAAGATAACATTTTGATTGTTTGCTCGAGTGAGGATAAGATTGATTCCTCTAAATCCATCATTGAAAATCTTCGTGATACCATCGGTGTCGAAGGAAATTTATTTGTTGAAAAAGTTTCGCAATTAACTAAAGGTCAGTTGTTATTTTTTCGGTATACAATTATTTCTGCCACTCGCCTTATACATCCTTTACCTTACTTGCTCTTTATATCTTTAGATAAACTTCAACCTTCAAGCTTCCACAAAATTTTCTATGGTTATATTGATGTTACACCCAGTATCAAGCAACTGAATGATGCTATTTTGGATCAGTTAATCAAATTAGTTCGTCCAAAAGGACAACTGTTTATCAAGAATCTGTTCAAGAATATCTGTGATTACAGTCATCAGTATTTAAGATTCATCTCAAGATCTTCGAATGGGCATCAGAGGTGAAAAATAACAAATAGATTCATAAGTATGTGATACTTAATAATCAATGGGAATCAAGAAGCATGGAAGTTCATGAGGACGTTCAAAAAGCAA